TCTTTGTGGACAGTTTATATATCTATATATATCACAGAACTTTCCCTCCATCCAAGCACTACATCATATATATATGTCATAATCACAAATATTTGTAACTTCTACCTCTCAATTAAAAAGAAATAAAATTTAAGAACATTTTACAATTTTTTAAAGAAAAGATGTCAACATTAAAGAAATAGGAGGAAAGATTTACAGAAACTTCTTATACTATCTTTGTAAGTCTCTATGAATGCAAAATTATTACAAAATCAAAAGTTAGTTTTTAAAAGTTATACATGCATACACATGCACACACACACACACACACACACACACACACACATGTGCACCCCCTACACAGGTGTATCTTTCATGCAAACTCATTCTTTCAACTGTGGTCTCCTGCAGTCAGGCTAAAAGCTGCCAGGGCAGGGAAGTCTGAGTCTTTCTACTCACATTTTAGTACTATAGCAGAGTAGAGAGAAAACTCTGGATGAGGCCTAATGGTACACTTAGACTCAGGTGACAACCTCTTCCATGGAAATGTTCAGGACCCCTTTTTCTTGCTCATACTGACCTTGAGGAAATAAAATGTAAGTGATAAGACTGCATGAGCCAAAACTTTTTGAATGGGGTAGGGCAAGAGAGGTGTGTTTCTATGACTGGTAGACAGCAGTCAGCCACTTTCCCTTGAGGTCTGAATGTCCTTACTCCATTCTCTGCATAAGATTTAATCAGGATGATGGCCTTGGTCCTGGCTCCTTGCACACAGAGCATGTATGTACATGTGTGTGCATGCATGAGTGTTTGTGTTCGTGTGTATGTGTGTTTGCATGCATACATTACATTCTCTTTATGGACAGTCAGAAAAGTGCCACCAGCTATCATAATCTTAATGAAAATTCCTGATGTGACATTACATGTACTGTGACTGGTGATCCATCTGGGGAGAGTTCTAGAATCAGAATCTTGGTTTTATTAGAGATGCTTATTTTGGTATTTCTTAGAATAGACTGGAAGTTGTTAAGTGTTGGCTTTGCTATCCCTGGGGACTGGCGGCCTGTGGTGATGGGGCAGGTGCCAGTGGTAAGAAAGAAGTGGGAGAAACAGAATCAGACAGCAGGACCACACAGCCTTTGAAGGGTGTGCTGGTCATGTCACCTGCAGGTACCAACATATGAGCACATGCAGCTCAGGATGGAGCAGAACACAAGTTCCTTCCAACTCCAGGTTAGACCGAGAGGGGCTACCTGCCCTGGGACTGGTAGCCATGAGGAATCTTTTGAGAAGAAGACTGGGAACTGAGTACTGTGAAGGCAGTCTCTATGAAAAGTCTCCATCAGCTGAAATAAATCGAACACAATCTCGTAGGTAGGCCAGGAGAACAACACCTGAGACTGGACGCAAGGGCCTTAAGCCCAACTCCTGCTGCTCAGCATGCACCTTCCACATAGAGATTTTTTCCAAGGATTTTTATAGAGTAAATCCACAAAGTGAGGTGGGTCCTAGGTGGAGAAAAATGGAAAACTGCAAGGTGGGCATGAGACAAGATAAAACTATGGTCAACCAATAATATTATGAGTATAATTACTCAGGTAAAATTGATTAAATTGGGATCAAATGGGGAATCAAGTCATATAGGAAGGAGGCATGAATATAGAATAGGAGCTCTTTCCTGTAGGGAGTTGGGTTATTTGCTCTTCCTGGCTTCCTCAGGGTGGGCAATACCTATCTAGAATATCAGGCCCTGATGTTTATCCTTAGGAAGTAGGTGGGTGCATTTGTTTTATCTTTTGTCTCACCACTGCCGAGGTGTCTGTCTCTCCCATAGTTGCAAGGTATCTTGTCTTCTTCACTGACTCCTTTGAGGGCCTAGCCCTATCTGACTGGCTATAGTATTTTATCTAATTTAGCTGCCTATAACATTTTGAAGGCTCCCCTAGTGATATCTAATTGTGACCTCCAGGTTGGGGAACAAATCACACCATGCTACTGCTCTGCTAGAACACACTGCTGCCAGTGATCCTAAACCCAGCACCAGTACAGAACTGAAGAAGCAGAGTTTAAAATAGAATATTTTTTGAAGATGAGGGAAACGGAGAGGAGAAAAATGACAGACAGCTACTCTGGACAATAGTGAATATACTAAAGTGAATTACTCATGGGGCTTTGTCTTCAGATCCCCTTTACCGGGGACTAGTGTCTCTCGCATAACCCATATGGACACTGGAAAGCTGTCACTATCTGATCTGCTCTCTTGGTTGTCTTTATTCCTAACCTAGGCATGTCTGCCTACATTCCTTCTGGTCGTTTGATTCCTTCCTGTTCCTCTATGATGAATAAGGGTTGGGGGCTCTTTGTAGGAAGATAGCTTACACCCAGTGATTAAGTAAAGGGAACATGTGTACATGTGTGTATCTGGTGCAATACTAGAGTGATGAACATATGTACCTAGGAATATGTGCAGGTTGTGTGTGTGAGTGCACACTGAGTAAGAGGCTTACGTACTGAGAGTCCTTAGGTGGCTGCCTGTTACCTAATTTCCATTCTGTCAGTGGGTAAGGGGGCTGGTTATCCTAGTCTTTCAAGTTTTTTCTGGCTTCCTCTTTGCCTTGTTGACTCTTCCTGATAAATTCCCATGATAATTGTTACCTGGCACCTCTCTCAGTCTGCTTTCTCCCTCCCCTTTGTCTTTCTAATGGCTATAACTGCAGAGTTTACCTGTAGAGGCCAAAAGTTGCCTTTAGGAAGGTTTCCTATTAATTTCTTTAATAAAGTTCAATGAGACCTTATTTTATCCTTTTTCCTGCCTATGACCAGTCCCACTGCATCATTTAGCTGGTTTGCAGTCACCCACTCTGAGTGACCGCCTCTTGGTTAGTATTTGGCACTTAGAGGTCCTTGTAGATATGTTGACAGCAGGCCTAAATGTTCAGACTACTGTAGGGTTCTGAGGAAGTAGTCCCACTCCAGCTCCTGAGTTACTTGCTTTTAGTCTACAAGCGAGGCCTGT